TATACCATTAAATAGACGATTTCACACTTTAATGTTTTTATTTCTGGTTCTAAAATGGTACTGAAATGATGCAGATGTACTATAAATGGGGAGATAATATGGAACATATCACCATGGAGACATATAAAGTTCGGTAAGGGTGAGCGTGTTTTCAAACTGAAGTGGAGGGGATGGTGTAAGCACCTGGAATTGGATTTAAAAAAAACATGAAAATGCATTCTTCAGAAGAAAGGTTCATGGATGTTGGATATACAGTATTATGACAATACAAGCCACTGTGCCCAAATTGGTGGAGGACTACAGTGAAGGCTGTCCTTCTGGAACTTTATCCTATCTCCACACAGGATCTCTGGAGCTCAGTTAGAGTGACCATCTGGTTTTTGCTCACCTCTCTTACTTACGTTCCCACCCCAATTGCTCAATTTGGACGGGTGACCAAACTTCTTCCACTTGAGAATTATGTAAGCCACCGTGCTTTTGGGAACCTTGAGTGCACCAGACATTTTTTGTAGCCTTTCCCAGATCTGTACCTTGCAATATTCCTTTCTGAGCTCTACAGGCAGTTCCTTTGACCTTATGGTTTTTGCTCTGATACAGTAAATGCATTGTCAGCTATGAGACATTTTAGAGAGGTGTGTGCCTTTCCAAATCTTGTCCAATCAATTTAATTCACCACAAGTGAAGTTCAATCAAGGTGTAGAAACTTTTCAGCAACAATCAAGAGAACCTGAGCTAAATTTCAAGCATATTTGTTTTTTTTATTTTTCAAGCATGACTCTACAGGTCCCATGAGACATTGCAAAACTGACAGTTACAGCTATGACTTACATAGGCATGTTGGAACTTGTAGTTCTGCAACAGCTGGAGAGTTGCAGGTTGCCCACCCCTGCCCTAGGGGGATAAGAGTACGTTCCTCTCCAAAACCACCTGAACCCTGCCTACAAGCCTGTAGTGGGTGACAGGGGTGGACTGACAACTCATGGGACCCCCCGGGCAATAGAGGATCATAGGGCCCCTGTGTCCTTGCCCAAACTCAAAAAAAACCTATGAAAAAGGTACCAGGGGCATCTCATGGGGCCCCTACTGACCCCGGGCCCACGGGCAGTGCCCAAATTTCTAAATGGTCAGTCCGCCCCTGGTGGGTGAAACCTTCTGGTCTTTCAAACTCCTCTGCTCTCTGCACAGGCTATGTAGAACACAGTGGTGATATCACTGCTACTTGTACAAGGTAATAACTGGATTCATAAATGCATTTGATGCACACAAAATGGATATATATATATCTTGTGGCAATTGTAAGTGTATTTAAATAAAAGTTTATATGCCCAGAGTTCAGTTTTAAGTGAGCCCACGTGTTGCTCAATAATTTCTCCTCAACTTTTGAAACCCTACAACAACTTGTGTTACTTGTTTGTATTATCAGATAGAATTCATTGTGTGCAGGCTCCAGACTCGTACATCTCCTGCCAAAAGCGTCCCTGGAGGCCATTTCTGCATCGTACTTCTCCATATACACCATCATTAATGGATGTTGCACTTAGTATGTTTACAGTTAATGGTCATGTGGAGTAAGTTAATAGTTATGCGGTTGTACTTGGGCAATGCTCATTTTGGGCTTGGTATACCTCAAATCCCAGTCACATATTGTATTTTTTTAATAATTGTGGCCAACGGGAAATAAATGTTTTACATTAAGTCTATTTATTTTAACATTCAGACCTGTGAGTATTTTGGGCATTTGGTAATTCACCAATTTGAGCCATGGGGAAAAGTACAACTATATCAGCCATTTAACTCATGCACAGTCCAAAATTTCAATCCCAGTCTCTACAAATTTGGCAGGGGCAGCCTGTGGTTGAGGTTGCTTTTTGTATGTGAATGAGGAAAGATCACTTCCTAGTCTCTACAAATCCCAGTCTCTACAAATTTGGACATGTGTGTAGCACATCTTAAAGCAGAACTCCAGTTTGGATTTTTTTTTTCTATATCTTTGCATCAGAGGGGGGCCCTGACCATGCATTACAGCCACATGTTCTGCATGTAGGGCACCTTTGTATACTTTTCTCTGGCAATAGATTTGGGGAGACTTACAACTACATGACATCGAGCCACAGTAGCTGCTTCCTGTCGTGACCAACTGTCATTTTAACCTCCCAGTGCTACACTACAGTAGTGACATAATGGTGGCGCTGCCATACAAACATGTAGTCCCTTGTGTCGCCACTGCTTTCTGCCAACCACCATACCACAGAAAGGAGAAGAATGGACTGTAACAGTCACATGACTGCTATATTTTATTGTTAAAAATAAGTTATTTAGATAGAAATCTAAGATAAAGAGTGTACATTGTCCAGGGGTTGGGCATGGGGACTGAGGGATATGAATATTTTGATTACTGGAGTTCTGGTTTAAATCTCCTTTCCTGATATATTGGAAAAAGGAGAAATATGCTCCTTCCAGGAGTTAAAAAAAATAAAAAGGAGCTGTTCTTTATGATAGATGAATGACAGTATTTTTCATTAAAACATTTTGTCTCAATACTCCTACAGCCAGTTAGGACAATGGAGGATCTGAACCCATTTGAACAACTATTTAGTGCAAGTAAGATGCGGAAACACTGTACATTGCGTATCCTTACTGCAATAGCAGGATCCTCTCCTCTGTTGTATATGGAAAAGTGGGAAATGGAACTTGGAATACTATTTAATGAACAGCAAAAAAAGAAAATATTTAGATTAACACAGGGGGTGGTAGACATGAAGGTGGTGGAGATGAATTATAAATATCTGGCAAGATGGTACATTACACCGAACGTGGCACATAAGCAACAAGCAAAGAAGACACCTATGTGTTGGACAGGGTGTGGGGTACAATGGCACATATATGGTGGGATTGCCTCAAGATACAGGAGTACTAGGAAGAAATAATTCACCAAATACAGGAGATTTTGGGAGTTAGTATCTTGAAGGATCCAGGTATATATCTATTTCATAAGACCGAGCTCTCAGTGAAAAAGTATAAGAATATTTTAATATTTCATTTGATAATGCAGCAAAGGGACTAATACCAACATTTTGGCAGGTTCAGGAGGTACCAAAAATAAGGGATTGGATAGGCAGAGTAGATTATTAATATATGATAGAGGGAATTTTACCATTCTTCAGAAGATAAAATGGATTTTAAAAGTTCAAATAGATATGTTGATATAGATATAGATATGCCAATGGCTCCCGCTTCTGTCTCAGCCAATGAGGAGAGGGAGTCCCGGGATTGCCGAGACTCCAGTGCACATCGCTGGATCGAGAGGGGGCTTAGGTGAGTATTAGCGGGGCTGGGGGGGATGCTGCACACAGAAGGTTTTTACCTTCATGCATAGAACGCATGAAGGTAAAAAACGTTGAGCCTTTAAAGATAAGTTTGTGACAATTTGTTTTAGCATGCTGCAAGGAACATTAGGTCACCCTGTGTGATAATCATTTGAGTGTAGAGTATAAAAGCTAAGAATTTCAAACTACTCAAATAAATAAGCTATCCTTTACAAAAATCCTCCTGAAAAACCTCTACTGTTCAAGTATAAAATTCCCCTATAATCATTTTAGGGTAAGATAAATCAGTACTAAGTATCTCAAACCGCTGAAATCAATGAGCTCTCAGTCGTAAAGATCCTTCCTCATATAAACCAAGTCTAAAATTGTTCTGAAAATCGTCAACTGGCCAGAAAAAATGACAAGCTAAATGATTATTTGTTCCAGAAGCTACACAATGGGGTTTATTTACTACAGCTGGTTCACTCAGAATCTTGTGCACTTCTGCATGGAAACCAATCAGCTTCCAGGTTTTATTGCTAAAGCCTAATTAAACAAGCTGAGGTTAGTAGCTGATTGGTTACAATGCACAGCTGCACATGGTTCTGGGTGAACCAGCTTTAGTAAATCTCCCCCAATGTCTTCTAATGGAAAACAACAAGAACAGAAGATATGTTGGCCATAGTGGCCATACATTGATTACCCGTAGAGGGCACTAACCCCCGTCCAGTCGAAGGACCTTGGGTAACACCCGAAATGTAGAAGGGGTGGAGCTTAAAAAATAATTGATGTGCCAGTCAGGTGCGAGCTTTGGTACTTAAATTAAATATTGATAGCCAAAGAATACCAAGAGCTGCAGAATTCCATTTCTTTGGGGAAAGTGGCGCTTACACACATTGGAAGACCTGCTTTTCCACCATATCATTACCCTCCTCTATGGAGTTCTAAAATTCAACAGATCATCAGATTTTCTTCAATACAATGTAAACTATATGGGCAAAAGCATGTGGATACCTTTTTAAGCTATTGAGTTCGTATGTTTTCAGGAAAGTGAACTATTAATACTACAGAATACAAAAATAATTTCTTGGTAATTGTCCACTTCCAACATTCTGGCAACAGTTAGAGTAAGGCCCTTTTCTGCTGCAGCATGCCTTTGCCCCTATGCACAAAGTCAGCCTTATAATGACATGATTTGATGAGTTTGGTGTGAAGGAACTCAGGTGGCTTTGACAGAGCTCTGATCTCAATTCTGCTCAGCACCTTTGAGATGAATTGGGATGCTGATTGTGAGCCGGGTCTTCTCATCCAACATCAGTAACTGACCTCACAAATGGATAACAATTCACACAGACACACTCAAATCTCGTGGAAAGCCTTCCCAGAAGACTTGAGACTGTTACAGCCACAAAAACCACCCTTGGTTTTGGAATGAGATGTCCAACAAGTTTTTATAGGTGTGATATGTGTGCCATATTGGGGCTTATTTATGAATATGTTCACCCAAGATTCACACATTGTTCTAATTCAATCTTATGGAAAAATAAGTGCAAACCTGGGGTAAAATTGGGTAATAACATCTGTAGGGGACTCTTACAATATCAGATCTCACCAATAAATTGAATTCACTTAAAAAAGTCATTACAAAGTGGACAAGTGCATAAAAAGTTGTAAACATTCCATATGGAAACTTACAGTGGAATATCCACATAACGAAGGTTTCTGTTTATCCCATCAATAGTTTTCATGTCCTCGGCAGTCAGCTCAAAGTCAAAGACCTGCAAATAGTAAAAAGTCCCTTCACAAATACGGTACATGAATGCATATGAATGTGTGCATTAAAGACAAATCATTAAATCTAAATCTAATCAGGCAAAGAGTAAGTAAGTCAATGTAAGAACTGCCCTATGGTTCATGCTAACATTTCCCTGCTTATCTTACCACCCGAATTACCCCCATGAAATAACCAGCGCTTTTGTGTACTCTTCCTTGCACAATTCAATCAGTTGGTATATCAAATGAGCTGGTTACTTTCACTGAAAGGGATAAGGGGTGAGCAAAGGTTATAACCCCTGTCAAATTTTGTTTTTCACCATCTGTGTTCCATTTTGCAGATTTCCCTTAACTTCCTGTCCCATAGCTAAACAGGAAGTGAGAGGAAATCCCTGCAAATTAATGAAATTCTTTGGGGACCCCTACGTCACCTGAACTAGTGCCCCCATTGGAAGGTTTCCCTTCTATTACTTTTCCAGGGACAACCCAAAATTTGGGGATTTCTTCTACTTTTACTTTCAGTGAAAATGGTAAACAGGACAAATACAGTAGACAGGGTGAATTTCCTTAACGGGGGCACAGACAGCAATAAAAACTGACAGGTGCTCTAATCCATCTAGCCTCTATCCAAAACTTAAAAAAATGTTTTGGTTTAGTTATATTTTATACTAAGCAATGGGTGGACACATAAACAGAGGTTTATGAAAACTGCAAGTCAGAATAATCTGATTTCTACTTTCTGAGCCTCCCTATTGTGAGTCTATCAATCATGTTATAGGCTTAGAAAGAATAAAATGAAAAACAAAACATGACAAAAACCCCCCCCCCCGAAAAATGGAGTGTCTGTAAAAGAACACAAACAATACTCAGATGTCCCACCAGGCTTCGCTGTATTGAAGAGATGCCTGAAAGATTTTCTGCATCTGACACTTCCAGGAGTGCCGAAGGCTTGGTCCCCCTTTGTGAGCTTTAGTTCTCTCTGCTGACTCCAGTATCACTATAGGATAAGGTAGTATGGGCTGGCAGAAAGTAACAGTGCTCAGCATGGGATTGGTCATCTAACACAAATTGAAGTGTCAGATGCAAAACATACTTTGGCAGCTGTAGAATGTGTTACTTTTTTTGGAGAAGAGACAGAGTCAATTTATCCATATTGCAATAATAAACAAAACTGTGAAAATATGTGGTTGTTTCTGTGTAATGCTGGAGACACAGAGAGGAATGCAGCATTCACCTTGAAGTTTTCCCTTATTCTGTCTGGGTTATAACTCTTGGTGATGGCCACCACTCCACGCTGAATCTGGTAGCGAATAACGATGTTCGCTGGTGTCTTATTATACTTCTTGCCAATTTCAGCTAAGACAGGATCTTCCAATAGTACCGGAGAGTTCTGATCCACCCTAAATGCAGAAAAAGATATAAAAATGACCCTGAGGCGACCTTTCATTAAAAATGTAACTCCAGCCAAATCCCTTTTTTAATTTTGGATAAAGTGAGAAAAAGTTAGAACCTGTCTCAGGTTTTTATTGCTGTCTGGGCCCCATAGGCGATATTTAACCTCACTCCCTGTATCGGTAACAGCATGTCACCAAGACAGGAATCGAGGGAAAAATTGCCAATGAGACTCAAACAGCAATAAAAAGCTTATGGGGGTCTTAGCCTTTCCCTACTTTACTCCATTTCTGCTTTATTGCTGTCTCTGAGCCTCTTGAAGTGTCCTCTCGCTTTATGTCCTGGGCATACCTAGGCCAGGAACTGAAGAGAAAACCCCCAGCACGATCACAGAGAGCAGTAAAAACATGTCAAAGCATGTTAAAAGTTCTAACTAGAAAAAAAGAAGTTTTGCTGCAGATATAATTTATAGGAGTACTCTGAATGGAAAAGCAGATTTCTGTTTTCTGACCTCGCTAAAAAAATAATGAACAGTTTTACCTACTAGGGAAGCTAGTATGGGGCCAAGACCTGACTCCATAATAAATTTTGTACTTGTGCCCTTCTCCTCTACTATGGCATGTTGACTGACAGAACAACTTACACAGAGCGGAATAGGATATGTTTTAATGGTATCAATGGGGCATCAATGTTTGGTTTAGGCCAGCTCAGCTATGACACACAGTACAGTAGACGAACACCCAAAATTTTTTTTAATTTTTACTCATGTACAATCATGGCCACAAATATTGGCCTGCATTTTTGTCCAATAATGTAAAATTACGCCCAGAAAAGTTTTTGCAATTACAAATGTTTAGGCATTCTCGGGTTTATTTATTTTGTTTGTATTGGTATGACACATAAAGGTGGAGAAACGAAAAGCCAAATCTGACACATTCTATGCAAAACCCCAAAACTGGATTGGACCACATTATTGGCACCTACTCAAAATTGTAAGCAATAGTTTTATTCTAAGTCAGTGATGCTCCTGTAATTTGTAATTAAACTCACCTGTATCAATTAACATGTGCTGACATTATAGAAATCACACTGGCAACCAGTAAAAATGGTGAAAAATTTACACAACTGTTGTATGTCTCTAACAAATATAATGAATAATACTCGTGAGCCAAAATGTGATACTCCCCATGTGCAATAAATAATTTAACAGACAAAAATATATATCAAATTATGGTGCATCAACACTTTACACAATACTCATTATCTGTGCAAAACATACACTGTATAAGAAATTATATATATCTACAAATATATATATACGTACGCCGCGCTCCATAGTATACATATAAACTCATATATTAGTGATTATATAAATAATAATGTGAAAAAATGAATGTGCTTCAAACCAGTGCACCATGTGATGCTATTGCAAAGTAATACTAATCCAATACTCATAAATAGTCCTCTTTATACTTTTATAACTTTTCAGTGACAAATAAGGTGATTCGTGCCACACTCCCCCGTGCTCTATAGATAGGTGTGCGCTCACCTCCTTAATTAGCCAGACAAAGTGGCTGAAAACACTTTTTGTCCTATCAGGACAAGGTGGAAATCTTCACACTCTATACTTGTTTCCATCAATGCTGTGGATTGCCTTATTTCTGCCACCAGAGGTCTCCCTTAATCCTCCTTCCACGCTTTTTCCACAATTGTTTTTCCCCCTGATGAAGCCATGTGACCCTGGGCGTAACGCGTAGGGGGGAGGGGCTCTGACGTCACGACGCCGCGGTGATGGCGACGAGCGGCATTCACAAGCACAGGATCTGGGCATATACCTGCTGAATTCAGCTCTGTTGAACACTACAAAATGAGGAAATACCACCCATATCATTTCTAACCATCCACTGAGGCTAAAGTGTGGAAGGAGAGAAATAAGGGAGACCTCTGGTGGCAGAAAAAAGGCAATCCACAGCATGGATGGAAACAAGTATAGAGTGTGAAGATTTCCACCTTGTCCTGATAGGACAAAAAGTGTTTTCAGCCACTTTGTCTGGCTAATTAAGGAGGTGAGCGCACACCTATCTATAGAGCACGGGGAGTGTGGCACGAATCACCTTATTTGTCACTGAAAAGTTATAAAAGTATAAAAGGGGATTCTTGGGTATTATGAGTATTGGATTAGTATTACTTTGCAATAGCATCACATGGTGCACTGGTTTGAAGCACATTCATTTTTTCACATTATTATTTTTATATAATCACTAATATATGAGTTTATATGTATACTATGGAGCGCGGCACGTATATAATATATTGTAGAATATATATAATAACTGTTGTATGTCTCTGCCACATAGAGCATGGAGAAGAGATGGAGCGGGAAGGAATTGTCTGAGGATTTGAGAACAAATATTGTGGGAATGCATGGACAATCTCAAGGTTACAAGTCTATCTTCAGAAATCTTAATGATCCTGTGTCCACTGTGTGCAACATTGTCAAGAACTTTACAGCCCATGGCACTGTAGCTACTCTCCCTAGACATGGACGAAAGAGAAAAATTGATCAAAGATTGCAACGAAGGATTGTTTGAATGGTGGATAAAGAACCTCAATCAACTTCCAGAAAAATTCAAGCTGACCTTCAGGCACAGGGTACAACTGTGCCAGCTCACACTATACATCATCATCTGAATGAAAATGGACGCTATGGTAGGAGACCCAGAAGGACCCCACTGCTGACACAGAAACATAAAAAAAGCAAGATTTGAGTTTGCCAGAACTTGCCAGGGAAGCCAAAATCCTTTTGGGAAAATGTGCTGTGGACAGACAAAAAAAATTACAGATTTTGGTAGAGCTCATCATGATACTGTTTTCAGAAAAAGAAATGAGCCCTTTAAAGAAGAGAATACAGTCCATACAGTCAAACATGGTGGCGGTTCACTGATGTTTTGGGGGTTGCTTTGCTGCTTCAGGCACTGGATGTCTTGACCGTGTGCATGGCATTATGAAATCTGAAGATTACTAAAGAATTCTGGGGTACAATGTAGGGCCCAGTGTCAGAAAGCTGAGTCTCCGTTAGAGGTCATGGGTCTTACAGCAGGACAATGACCCAAAAGCACACATCAAAAAGCCCCCATAAATGATTTAAAACAAAGCACTGGAGTGTACAGGCCAGCATTGAGTACAGATCTCAATCCCATAGAGCACCTGTGGAGAGAGCTCAAAACAGCAGTTGGGAAAAGGAACCCTTCAAATCGGAGAGACCTGGAACATTTGGTGAAAGAAGAGTGATCAAAAATTCCGTAGAGAGGTGTAAGAAACTCATTGATGGTTACAGGAAGCAACTGACTTCAGTTATTTTTTCCAAGAGGTGTGCTACCAAATAATAAATTGAGAGTACCAATAATTTTGTCCAGTCCATTTTTGGAGTTTTGCGTGGAATCTATCAGATTTGGCATTTTGTTTTTCCACTTTTTTTCATGTCTTACCAGTACAAACAAAATAAATAAATATGAGAATGCCTAAACATTTGTAATTTCAATAATTTGGGTCGAAGTAGTGCATTAACTGACAGAAATGCAGGAGTGCCAATATTTTTTGGCCATGACTGTATCTCCTGTTTCTATCCACTGCTCTAACCCCCTGCTGCAACCCCTTGCAGTGAGCCACTCTATGCTTTTCCCATCTCTGAAACTCCAGCAATTCTTTCCCCCCTCACTTCTGTTTCTGGCACCTCCTGTCCTTCCTGCACACATTGCCCCCAATTCTCAGCTCCAGTGCTGTGAATGCCCCCAGAATCTCAGGAGACACCCAATTTTCAGACTCCTCTCCTGATGCTTTAGCTCCTGGAGTCCTAGAAGGTGTCCTAATGATTTTTGAGCAAAGCCTGGCCAATGTGGATGCTAGAGAGGCTCCCACATTGGACACTATGATGGCTTTGGATAACTGGAGCAGGGTCTTCTTCTGCCTCTGCACTGACCCTTTCTTGAGAGGCTAAGGGAGATGCAGGACCAGGCTGTCAAACTGACAGTCCTGCCCTGCTGACTACATAGAGATGGCTCTACAGATGTCATCATTGGAGCTCCTCTCTCAGTGTGACAGCAACCCCGTTCTGTATCATTAGCATTGAAAGCAGCTCCCAATACACACAGTGTAACAGGCCAGCTGGCAAAGTGTGTATTTGCTATAAGACATTGCCCTTTAATACATTATCTGCACCTACTTTTGCTGCAACACACTCCACACAACCCTATCTTGTCACTCAACAATTTTATTCCTGATTGACAACTCTGCCCATGTGTGTTTGTGTATGGCCAACTGTGATAGGGAGTGTAAGATCTTTGGGGGAACAGGGGATAAGGTTGATCAGTGCTTTCTGTAAAGTGCAGCTGAAAAGTGTTAGTGCTTTATAAAAGAGTCAAATAATAAAACATGGTAACACAAACAGCTGAAGCAGCCCTAAACCCCAGGTCATACCAGTCTTTGTGTCTGTGTGAACCCAGGACGCTGTACGCAGTCAGCAGGATATCATTGGTTTTGCAAAACTCTAGCAATTTGCTCTGATTCAGGTATGGGTGACATTCAACCTGCAATGCATAGAGAGAGTAAGTAGGCAATGCTTAATAGTGATTGTAAACCCTCACCTTGTAAAGCAACCCATTTAGTTCAAAATAGAAATGAAAAGCAAAACATTTGTGTATACATATGAAAATAAATAAATAAATAAAACATTTTAAAAACAGTCGAGAATGTCAAATCGAACAAAACATGAAACTGCTAAATTTCTTTTAATTTTCAAAAATAGGTGCCATAAGATGCCACCAGCATCAATATTATAGACAAAATCAGTGTCATGGACAGACTGTATCTGTGGCTGACAGTGGCAGGGTGGCAGTTGCAGTGAGTGGGGGATGATGGATTCACACTCTGACAGATCCCAGGCTGGAATTTCCCCAGGCCTAGTTTGCCTAGCAGAAGCACCAACCCTGGTAATATGAAATGCTGGGTTTGCATATTCTTTAAGTCCAGCTGTACTTTCACTTTTAAAGGGTGTTTCCATTGAAATCTCCTTATTCAGTTTTGCTGAATTAAGTAGTGAGAAACGCCAGCAGGTGCTGTAAACTGGATCCATGTAAATGGAACTTCAATTTTGCACTAAGGCTTGAATTGCACACTACAACATGGGGAGATCCTCAAGCAAGCAAATTTCTAATAGCCAACATGAACCAATACCAAAAATACCAATTTTTGCAAAGCAGAGTTGAACAATTTGAACAAAGACCAACATTTATTTGCAATGGGTACCAAGTATTGTATCTTGTTGACTTACTTTTTCACACATACATCCTAAAGTATTAAAGGGCATATATATAGTATATTAGTAATACAAATCTATTATATAGTATGACATTATCACATTTAATAATGTAAATTACCTGGTTGCACACAGGCCTATACTTTAGTCCAGGCTTGTTGAGAATCTTCTCTAGCTGGCGACGGTTAAAGTTGGAGACTCCAATTGATTTCACCAGCCCAGCATCTTTACATCTTTCCATGGCCTGTGAGTTGCAGAAGCATAGTGGTAAAAAAAAATGAACTATGGGAATATCTGCTTTTAAACTTTGCTAAAAAGTTACAGCATTGCTGTCTGATCACTGGGGGAGAGAGACTGAAGAAATGCTTCCTCCTGCCTGCAGCACTGTAGCAGATTGATGACCTCATCTCAGCCTGGGAAAAGATACTAAACTGCACCCTAAAGTGGTAGTAAACCCAAAAACAAAGACTTCTGGCTTGTAAGGTCTGGAAACCTCCAATCTTTGAAAATGTAAAGAAGAGCTGTTGCCACAGGAAATCTGCTACGATCAATGCTCATGTGATAAAGAGGAAGGTCTGCTTTTATGCCTCCTCCCTTTTCCACTTCTACTTTTGGCACGAAATATATATATATATATTTTTTTTTTGGGAGTGTGTACATGGTTTTGACAGGCACTCACTCCCACTAGGTGATCCGAGTGAAATTTGCCTCCCTCCCTGCCAGCAGCTTTCTTGGACATGTCACAGGTCCCAGAAGACTTTGGTATCATTCACAATACACAGCGTAGGCTCGTGCATGTGCAGTGGGAAGCTGGCTGTGAAGCATCTAGGACTCACATCCGGCTTCCATGCTGGCACTGGGGTCCTGAAGACTACTGAAGGACTAGCCCAGGTGAGGATAGCACTGGACAGGTAAGTGTCCTTTTATTAAAAGTCAGCAGCTACAGGATTTGATTTTTTTTTAAGACAGAAGAACCACTTATGATTTTGTGTTCAGATTTTTTGGTGTAGCCAATATAAACAGTTTGAAATCATTTCCATCTGAATTTCAAGTTTAGTCTTGCAGCTAGAATAGCTGCTCTGTAAGCAACTGGATGGGAAAGAGGTCAATTAGTGGCCTTACAGGAGTGTAAAAATGTCAGCATAAGCAAAAATAGTATCAAGATCAGGTAAGAAGAGAAGAAGTGACACGAGTGTGCACATCTGCAGATTTTGAACAGTTGTCACCCTTGTCCACTTCTGCACCCATGTAGCACATAGTGGGGAGGAATCACAGTAGTTATGTACTCTACCTTACAATTAATGTATCAGGTAAAGTGGTCCTGTATATTCATTTTAAGGCCCCTTGCGTATGGGGCTGTCTATGTGCAACATGTTCCTCTTGCTGTTTTAGTGCACCTGGGAGGGACAGGCGCAGCATCCAGCTCCACGGTAGGCTACATGGCAAGCTGTCAATATATGGGGCTGAACGTTGTAGTGAGTGGTAGTTGGACTTAAGCGGTGTTCCTGTGAAAATAAAAAAAAAATAAGTCAGGAGCTACAAAAACTGTAGCTGCTGACTTTTAAAAAAAGACACTTACCTGTCCCTCCATCCATGGTGTCCCCCCCCACAGCCCGTTTCACCGGCCGCCCTGTGTTCCCGGTGCCAGCATCTTCATTGTGGGCACCCGACTGGCGACAGCTTGCGACTTCACAGCCGGGTGCTCACTGCACATGTGCGAGTAGTGCTGAGCTTTGTGAATAGTCTTCTGGGACCTGTCAGGTGTCCCAGAAGACTACAGGGAGGGAGGGGAGGAGGACAACTTCCGCTTCTGATTATCTCGGCAGAGGAAGTGGAAGCAGGTATCTGGTAATTTCGGGTACCCGCTTCCCCCGCTCCTCAAAGGTGCCTTAAAGCTGAAATTCCCCTTTTGGGTGGAGCCCTGCTTTAGGACCCTGTGTGTTCAGGGACAAATGCACAGAACGAAAGGGTTCACTGCCCTTAGATAGCCCTGTGTGCAAGGGGCCTGATGGTTTCTTGATTTATCTGTTTGGTTTAATATAATACACAATCGTACAGTACATATTTTAGCCTGTTTGTGAGAATGTATGATCTGTTACCAATTACCTTTGCTCTATCTGAGACAATCAAATGCCATCTCCTACCTCCCATATAGTGCACAGGTCCGTTGAAGTATCAAGTTGAGGTTTTCCGTTTTCATCCATGGGGATCAGATCTCCTCCGGGCTATGGAATAAGAACAGTTTGTCAAATCTTGCACATTTCCAGGACACAGTTAGCAAGTGTCAGCTATTGGACCACAACCTGAACCTTTGCTCCAAATGGCAAGTTCCCAGAAAGTCCACCAAGCCAAATGGCTTATTTCTATTTAATATCAAGAGGAGTCCCTCAGCTGCCAATACTAAGAAAAGTATAAAAGAAGCTAAAAAGAACTCTATTGAACAAAACAACGTTAATTGTGAAGAGTTGTTGAAATCACTGAATGCAATAGTAAGTCTCTGAAAACTATTACCTATCATTCTTGAGATGCCAGAACAGTTTAAATGGAGCTAGCATTTGATATATATTTTCATTTAAAATGCAGAATGCTAAGTATTGTACAAGTGTAACACCTCCAGGTATTTATTACCTCTCACAGAGATCACGGTACTCCCCCTGACAATGCCTTCAGTTGCTTTTTTTTCCTCAAGGACAACAGTACCATATTTATTCAGGCATCAACCAGGGTTACCATCTATTCCTAGATGAGGATGCCAGCTCAGAGATGACATATAAATCCTGGTGCTCACAAATGTCAGACACAGAACAGCCCCTGCTGCAGTATCTCACCTTGTAACTTACTACAAAGTTACAATGTTGCAGTCTGATCACAGGGTGGGAAGAGACGGAGGAAATATTTGGTGCACTGGCCTTGGTGACTGTCTGCTTAAGTACCCATAACATCAAGCAGGGGTGGGGGTGGGTGGTGGGTGGTAGGTATACCTAAACCTGGGAGGGGGTTGCTGTAAAAGTGAAACTGTTGCTTTGGTCTGAGAAAGCAAAACACATTCACACAGACCTCATTTTATCTTGCAAGTGCTATTCTGAAGGGCATCGTGTTCAGGGTGCATGCATTTAGAAGATGTCTAGCAGCTATCTTGAAGTATTATTGATAATCTTAAGTTCTATTCCTGGAATAATTTGTTTAATTGTACCTTTAAAGGGAGTGTGTAATCATTTTGCATGTGCTCTTTGTTTATTTTTAGTCAGCATGACTTTTCTCTTTTTATCGATAAATATGAAATAAGAGTTTATGAGTATTTTGCATTCTCATTTACTGCCAGCAGGTGCAGCTTTGCAGAGTTTGCAGAGTTTGGGCACGTTTCACATAGTTACACTGGTCCAGCTTTAACCAATGTAACTATGAATACACCATACCTGGCCAATGCTCCTGGAAGTTGGAAATCACTGAAGTTGACACCACTATCACAATGATGTCCCCTTGTTTCCCTGGTACCATGCTGAGTGGCTGGCCTGATGCATTCTGAACACAGGAGATTGCCCCGCACAGCATGGGCACCATTCAGAAAATTATGTCATCTTCTGATTGAATGCAAGGCGTTCTGTGTGATTGAAAAAGGTTGAGAGTGTGATGTCATGACCCTACCTCTCCACTTTGTGATTTGTGATGTGCTGTATAACGCTTTTCAGGAAGCGTTATACAGCACCCTGCCAGCCCCTCCCATCAGCCATGATCTGCCTGCATTGCTTAAAGAGGCACAGAGACCCAGCGGTGATGTCAATAGGTTTAACAAAAGTATGTAATGAAAACTCATTAACATGTTCATGGAGAGGGCAGAAGGAACCAGGGGGGCAAAAAAAAAAGGAATCAGATTATTCTTCAGCTTTAATACATGACTTTGGTCAGGAATACATTGCTAACAAAGAGGGGCGTGGCTTGAAAGGAGGCAAAGCTGAAACCTTTCTGATACATATAGAAATGGGCGGATCTGTGCGCTTGTATCTATTCATTCTCAAAGGTGATGACCGGGCAGGGGCGGACTGACAACTCATGGGGCCCCCGGGCAGTAGGGGATCATGGGGTCCCTGTGTTCTTTCCCAAACTCAAAAAAGCCTATGAAAAAAGGTACCAGGGGCATCTCATGGGGCCCCCTACTGACCCCGGGCCCTCGGGCAGTGCCCGAGTTTCCAAATGGTCAGTCCGCCCCTGTGACCGGGCAAGGTAGATCTTTTGGAGGCCAGCACTAGGCAGTGAAAGAATCATCGGGTGATTTGTGATGAAGCTTTGAGCGGCACTCTGGGATTTATTACTTCCCATCGCTAAAATATTGATATGTTTATCACAGGTCTCTTTTTAACACATAGCAAATGAATTTCTAGATATAAAAAGAGTAACAATGAATTGCTTCCTTTCTCTCAAGGTAACTCAACCTGTATACGTTTCTATTAATATCGATCTCAGTAAAGTGTTGGGTAAGAAATATAGAATATGGGAAAATGTTATATTTGGGGCTTTAAGGCGTAGAAGTGCCATATTTTCTTGTTCTTTAACACATTGTTGCCATTTTTAATTTACAAGTACCTGACCCACCCTGCTCTCATCTTGGGGGACACATTAAAACTAAGTCACAGTCCTCTTGAGACGACTGAACCAGCTGGGATGACTGAGGCTGACCAATGCTTACATGCAAGGTGTATTGATAACAGTTGTCACGGCAAAGATGGGCCTGATCCAAAGCAAAGTTAGATACAGCTAGAACAATAGACATAAAAAAAAAGCATGTAAGTGATTATAAGCTAAATGCAGATACTCACCTTAAGTGAAAAAGGCCAGTGGATGAGGAAAAGGTCCATATAATCCAGTTGGAGAGTCTCCAGGGATTGCTTTATATTAGGTTCTACTAGTTCTGGTGAGTGAAATGATGACCACAACTGAAAAATGGAAGCAGAGTTTAAATTCTCTTCCCTCTGTGCACCAAATTTTAAACAGGTTTCAATGTAACACTAACAAGATTGAAATAAATAGCTGAATAAAAATAAAATAAACAAAAACAGCTTTGCAGCATTCACCTAAAATCTAGAGCTGTCTCTAACTGTTAATCTGCCGCTAGGTGCTCTCAGTCTGATGGCCAGCATTATTCCTTACCCCCCTTCCTCTGAGCCCAGGCTGCCATGGATCTGCACCTAGCCTGTGACTGGACAGTGAAAGGAGAAGCAGCACAGTGATGAGTTCATCTCTCTCTCACTCTGTTCTCTCCTCTATCAGCATGATGACCTTGACAATAAAGGAACTGATAGGCTCTTCGTGTTGCTTCTTTCTCTCACACTCCAGCCCTGCTGTACATGGACTGCAAGAGGCTGATGTCAACTTAAATTCAGGTACGTACACTGCTTGTATTTAAAAATTACATGGAAACAGCCAAAAGTCACAGGGTGCTAAGTCACGGGAATAAGGTAGTTAGTCAAGTTTTGGAATTGATTTCTGGACCAGGAACTCGCAAACGCTTAACGCATTATGTGCAGGAGCATTGTCTTGGTGGAGAATCCACTTGTCAGGCCAGAGTTCTGGTCTTTTCCTCTGAACAGATTCCAATAACCATTCATTTTCTACATTTGTATCCGTCCTTTGCATTTTTGGCTGCCCACTTCTTGAGTCACCGTGGACATCTTCCTGCCCCTCCTTAAACTGTCTATGCCATTAAAAAACACTTGATTTCTTCATTGAATGTTCACTTTAAGCCAGTTGTAACAGAGATAAAGTTTCACTTACAATTTTAGTAATTTTCATGCAAAATTTGATTTTAATCTACTGCTCCAGATTCCTGTCACTCATTTTCCGCTAAGGCACGCACATTATTTTTTCTACTACTCCACAAAGACTGAGCCAACTAGACTGTGACCCAGACAAGTACTAGTTAGAACATGTCAGAACACACTCGAGTGCAAACGGCTGTGTGCACCATAGTGCTACACCACGGTATTAAATTGTCACTCCAAGTAGTATGAAATAAAAGGGCTGATCCAATATGGGGTACCACATCTCAATTATTATAGAGAACACATCAAATGAAAGGATGGACTTTTAAGGTAATCAATACAGCATACAGTATATGTAAAAATCAATTCACTTTTATTAACATTACAATTTGTTAAAAAATACAAATTTAAAATCATATTGCTCACAGTAATAATTAACATACAACCCCCTTGTTCAAAAACATCCTCAACAGGTGCCTATTCTACATTTTCTGTATGTCTTATGTATATAATTTTAACCTCATGCATTCCAATATAAATTATTGGAACAGCAGGGTAGGTGAAGGGATGGAGACTTGATTCAATCCATTTCCCAGAACTAAATGGTCTAGAACTTCCCACCCCAGTGTGTCCAGCTTTCTCCTACTCTGTCTACCTTTAGGTGATCCCTGAAAACTCATCTCTTCATAGAAGCCTACCCCACCTCTACTTAACAACAAAACTTTTAGCCCTGGGCCCCTGGTTCACACCGGTGTGACTTCAGGTGTAACATGTGATTTACAAATCACACTTGAAGTCACATCTAATGTATTTCTATGGCACTGTCCTAATCAGTGCAATTTGAAGTAGCACTATTTCAAAAATAGTTCCTGCACTACTTTTTTGCGATTATATTGCGACTTGCATTGACTTCTCTTAAAAAAAGTTGCAAGCCGTTGTGCTATTGGAGGTACAAATTGCACTGATCTGTGACTTTGAAATCGTGCTACTTCAAGTGAAGTAGTGCGATTTCAAAGTCGCATTCAATGTGAACCAGGGCCTAATTCTGGAACAGCCCATCCCCACACAGATATTATGGCAGATTCACACTACCTCGGAGCAGTCCTGCTGCATTTTAGGCAAAAAGCAGCTAACCCATGTGTTCTCTATTCACATCATTGTGTTGAGTAGGGAACCATCTATTGGCATTCACTGCAATTGCAGTTTATTAAAATCCTGAAACAGGAAACAGGAAGCTTCAATAACACATTAGTCCAGTTCCAATTTAGCTTCCAGAAGAACACCAGTGAAGGCTTCCCTTCTCTCTTTGATACACATATGCCTGTAAGTTCTTTCATTGTGTTTGTCAAAATCACATACATAGCTAGATTGCATTTAAATATATTTAATGAGATTTGTAGTTAGGTTTGCAAGAAATGTGTTCATTGTATACATTTGTGAGAGACATATATACAAGCATATTGTAATTTCAGTTTATGTGATTATATTGCAGTTTTACAGGACTATTTGCAGAAGTAAATTCAGTTTGGAATGAAACACAACACTGCTGTCAGTTTTGTTATTAGCTGTTGGCTAGCAGCATTAATAGGAAAGCATACCATGAGTTTCATGCGGGTTAGCTGCACTTTCCCATAGACTTCTATGGTGACCTGCAATTTTGGTGAAGTTTTGCAAAGTGCATCAAAGATGCAGTATGCAGAGATTTTGGTGGGCTTTCTGAAACCGCACTAAAACTGCAAGACCTTATAGAAGTCTATAGGAAAGCTCAGCTAACCCACAACAAAACGCACTTTTAGATTGTCAGCTCTCAGGAGCAGGACCATCCTAAACCTCTTGTCTAGGATTGCATTGTAACTATACTGTCTCCCTTTATTTTGTAAAGCAGTGTGTAAACTGTTGGTGCTATATAAATCCTGTATAATAACAATAATGATATCACTGCTAAACATTTGCTGAGTAACCAGAAAAAATGTTGCTGGTGAATGTATGGTGGACCTGGTCCAATCCAGGAAGTAGAACTACTCCGGGTTTAGCCCAATAGGCCTCTGTCCCAACACAGCCTTAAAACCTCCACCTCTTGAGGGACCCAATCTGGACCAGATTTTCCTGTCTCAATCCAGATATCTGACCTAGTAATAATGCATTGGCTTTAGATTTACTCTGTTATTACAAACAATAAAATCATATTTTTTAAATTGCCCCTTTAGGAATAAACCACTTAATCCAACCACATGTGCTTGTCATTTTGAATCCAAAAAACATTTTGACAGCTAGATTTAGCCAGTAAACGAGGGGCCACCTAATTCACTACCTCGGGGACATTGGAAGGGGAAATGAGGAAATGTTAGCAAATGTTTTGTAACATTCCCATAAAACTGGACTAAAGGGTAAAATCACATCTACTATTTTTTTAACCTCCCTAGCAGTTTGATTATGTCCATATTTCTGTGCTCAAAGTGGTACTTTTTTTGCATGGAAATATGTATTTTTTTTTATTGTAGGCCTGTAATTTTTAGGAATAACTCACTGAAATCTGTCTGAACAAGAGTCTAGTAAACATCCGGGTATGTTAAAATTTGAAACACGAAATCTTAAATTATAATTTAATAAATAATCATAAAAAATAATAATATAATAATAAATTTAATTCAATAATATAATCAAACCAAAAACACTGAAATTTGAAATATAGCGCCAAGTTCGCACATCACTGAGCAAAGTCGCAAAATCGTTTTCAGTGTCTGATGACGAATTTCCCCACAAATCATCATCACTCAATTCCGCAAGTAGTTCTAATTTACTATCGCTGTTCTCTAGCTGGTCTAAAACCGCTTTTGACCTAAAGAGACGCTTTTTGGACGCCATGGACATTTTTTCTCAGTTTCCAGGCAGAAAAAACAGTAAAAATGCAGGCAGGGCACAGGACAAAGCACTAGGGACAAAATGTATGTGAAATGGTTTGATACAGTAATGTTTTACTATGTTATTTTAGTGAATTTAGCGAATGTCACTTTTTGTCATTTTCAAATTTCCCGCCGTTCCGTCCCCGTACGTCCCGACGTCGCAGGGGACGGAACCTAGAAGATCCGCCGGAGGACATTACAGGGGACACTGCAGGGGGGACATCGTGGGAGCGCAGGACAAGGTAAGAGAAGAAACAGATCCCGGAGCAGCGCCGCATGGTAACCCGGAGTGTAGCTCAGGGTTACCGCTTGTGGTACTGAAACTTTACCCCAAGTTACACTCGGGAATACCGCCAGGGAGGTTAAATGTGTAACTGCCATAGTGGGGGAAGATATTTTTCAACATTGATTTCCTGTCCTGTGATTGAAGACATCCACCAACTGACATTCTTATGGCTAGATGACAGCTAATATCAAGTAATGGAGAAAATGTACAAAATTCAGAATGAAATATACAAATTTCAAACATCTCTGTGTAGGGATGGAGGTGTCATCATTTAGAATTATGACTTTTATTACTGGTACAACAAACTATGATAAATAGGAATTACATAAACAACACAAAAATTAAAGCAGAACTAAACTCTCCTGCCGTTTTCAGCCAAGGAAGCTGCTATCTTTGCCTCTGATTAATTTTCAACTGCCATTGTGCTGCACATGTGGTCAGTTATGACTCCGGTCATTTGATGGTTTGACAGTTTGGTTGAGAGCACAAGTAAATGTGAGAGTTACATTCCCGGCATGTGCTGGGAATGTAACTGTTTTTTTAAACTGTTAAATCGATGGGTTTAGTTCTGCTTTAAATTGTGATAAATAATAATAGTATCTTCAGGCAATGGGGCATGTGCAATAAGTATAAAGCTGAACTCCAAGCAAACAGCTAAAGACACAGATGAAATACATATATGGGAGCTGTTTTACAGCCAAAGAATTTGTATTTTTGTCCATCCAGTCCTGAGTTTTACACACTTCTGCCACACAGTACAGCTCTATCTGGCAGGGCATGAGACCTAATTTCTTTAGTCTGCATTTAATAGTGGCTACACACACTTCAATTTTATTATCTGATCGATGTGTGATTCAATTAAAACAAACATGACTATCATGACAGACATGACTATCTTTCCGATCGAGCTAGACTTGATTTAGATTGGATTCCTACAAACTGAGTCGGTGGGCCAGTGCAAAAAATATCAATCATTTTGCATTGCTCAGCAGCACTGAGATACTTTGTTCAGAAATACAATCATTTTTTAATCAATCAGATGCCAATTAGATGCCATCAATAACTAACGATTGTATCTTAAGGTAGAATTTCAAGCTTATTGCTAACTATTCTTAAACCGGCTTCCACTACCTTCTAAATCCTATTATATCTACCCTGTGGAAAGAAGGGGTCTATACTTTCTTATTCTGAGGGTGCTTCGGTCCGCTCATGTGTCTCCCCAGTGGCTGGCTTCAATGAACAGGAGAGATTACCTACAATGGCTGCAGTGGATGGGTGGTGATATCACCCATAGACTTACTATAGGGTATCCGTTGTTTGCTGTCCCTCCTCTTTCCTGAATCCAGCACTGGGTTACCAGACTGGAGTATAAGCATCATCCTTTCACAGGATGACTAGACTAGGATTTAGAAGGAGGGTCGGAGCAGGATTAAGCATAGATAGCAATAACCCTAGAATTTCACTTCAACTGTCAATCAAAATTCCACTTCCCCTTGTGTGTCATATCGATCAAATGGGTCGTCAACAGTAGATCAATTATTCCTATCGTAAAAGGTTAATTGGAAAATAAATCAATCTTTTATCGAAGTGTATATGGCCACCATAAGTATCATTTACAGCTCTCCTGTGCCTGGACAGTGAAGGGAGGCAGTAGACTACTATCTCTCACCTACCTATGCTTTCTTCTCCTATCAATATCCTTTTTGTACTACTTCTCTCTCTCCCTCTCTGAACAATGCTAGGGATGGCAAGAGGTTCATACCAAGTCAAATTTAGGTACTTACACTGCTTGCACTAAAAAAAAAAAGATTTGATTATATATGAATGTAACACTGGTCATTGTTACTAAAGAGGCAGAACTTTATTTGCCCACAAGACCCAACACTTTACCAAACCATAGCTCTAGTACAAGAGCTCGGAGCATTCTGGGAGATGTAGTTTGGAAGGAGGACTTTACCTGCAGTAGAGTTGAAGTCACAACTACAAGGCCCACAAGCACCAGCTAAGGGAAGGGATGATATCAAATGAAAAGCCCAGGAAGAAACCAGGGCAGTTGGGGAGAGGCGCACCAACTGGAAGGTTTGAGTATGACTGTGCTGAGCTGTGCTGTTGAACCAGGCCGGGCCGGGCTGCAAGCTACAGGGCTGTGATTGAGCTGAGGAGCAGAGACCATCTGAGGGAGACTCTCCAGCATCTGGAGCTGTTGTGGAGGGTTATACCTACTGACTGCCACAGATGCATTACCATTATAGGGGGCCACCACATAGACAACTCACTCACTTTGAAGAACTGCCTCAGAAGGATTGTGTGAGAGGGTCACAGACCCACAAGCTGTTGCTATACTGCACACCCAGACATTGTTTGCAACGCCGGCCTAACCAGGCCATTGCTTTTCATTGATACTGTTCCCAATACTGTTTTCCCAATAGGATCCAAACATTTTACTGCCATTTATTACTGGAAACTGCCGTCACCAAAGGGCACCACTCAAGTTGCCATTTTATCCAGATTGCTGATTTGGGTTACTGCCTTCCCCTTCTCTCTCTGCATTCACATTAGTGTCCTCAATATCATTCACCTTTGCATAGTCAGATTAATGGGGGCTTAAAAATATCCTGACTAAGTCTGTGCTTTTTTTTTAATCGTTGGAAAATAATCGACTACGGCCGATCCGAGCGCATGACTCCTGCACCCCCTAAAGCAGAAGAAGAAGAAGATGATGATGATGATTGAGGTGATGATGAAGAAGAGGATCCATGACGAAGAAAAAGAAGAAGAAGATGGCCCCAACTATGAGCGAAGAAGAAGAAGAAGAAGAAGAGGATGGATGAAGAAAAAGAAGAGAAAGGATGATGACTTGTATGATGAAGAAGAAGAAATTGATGATTTGATGATGAAGAAGACCTAGTAGAAGAAGTAGAAGAAAGAAGAAGAAGAAGAAGAAGAAGAGGATCTGATGATGATGATGATGATGAAAAAGAAGAAGAAGAAGAGGAGGAGGATGATGATGAAGAAGTAGAAGAAGAAGAAGAGGATGATGATGAAGAAGTAGAAGAAGAGGATGATGATGATGAAGAAGAAGTAGAAGAAGAGGATGATGATGATGGTGAAGAAGTAGAAGAAGAAGAAGAGGATGATGATGATGATGAAGAAGAAGAAGAGGATGATGATGAAGAAGGAGAAGAAGAAGGATGAAAAATAAGAGGAATTCTGGTAACAGAGTTGTTTGACTGGTTTGCAGGTTTCCGAATTCTGTATCCTAAATGGATACAAACTTTTGCAAGCCTAAACTTAGTCTATAGACTTCGGCCGACTGGTGGTAACGGGCTTTTTTTCATTTTTTTAAAAGTGAACTGCTTCACTGTCCAAAAGATTGTTAGCCAACTTGGCAGAAACTTGTATCACTTGGGGAACAGTGATCTCTTGGTCACTGAGGGATGAACTGCTTCACTGTGTATACTCCACTGTGTATACTCTATGTACTGCATACACACCTAGCTCAGTCTTCCAAGTATCCGAAACATTTACATTGTGTTCATATTGTATTGTTTTCTCATATGCTAACCCTGAGTCACTGAATTGCTGCATTGTTTTTTGCACACTGCTATTATTGAACAATCCTGCTTGTTTTTTCCATTATGGGATCTAGTCTACTGGTTTTGACAGGTACCCACTGTCACTTCCAGGCGGATCGCCTCAGTGCTCAGCGCCCCCTTCCCCACAGCCTTCTGGGACATTTACAGGTGCCAAAAGACTTCAGGACCATTCAAAATGCACAGTGAGAAACCAGCTGTGAAGCCACAAAGCTTCACTGGCAGCTTACCTTAGTTAAGATGCTGGTGCCTGGACCCAAAGCCCATTAAGGAATTGGATCGGGTGAGAACAGCGCTGGATCCCTGGACAGGTAAATGTCTTTACATTAAAAGTTATCAGCTATAGTATTTGTAATCTTTTTTTTGGGGGGAGACTGGAGTTCCTCTTTAAGAAGAATAATCAGCTTTAAAGGAAAAAAACACATGAAATGTGGTAAGAACATACAGTATGTAAACACTGTATCTACCAATCACTGGACCCATGAGCCCGGTGCAGCCCTCTAAGCCACTTAAGCATGTCCTCACCTTTCCTGTGTAGAAGAGATCTTCCCTTTTTACAGTCCCATCTGCAATCTTCTTCTGGATGGCCCGACCCACTTCTTTTTCATTCTGATACAGGTGCGCTCCATCAATATGGCGGAAACCAACCTTGATGGCAACTTCGGTGGCTTGTTCACTGAGGGAAACTGGGATCTAGAGCACAATCAGCCATAAGTAAAGTGCTATCACTACAAGTTAATTAGTGTAAAATACATTTATTTCCATTCATAGATAGATACAATCTGCAAGGGTGAAAGAATATGTAAACCCAACATTTCATATTCCTAATATTTTCCTGTTGTACCATGTACTTATATGAGCAGGTATCCTGTTCTCTTTGTATTGCTTCCTTTGTGTGAAATACCTGGTGTATCTGTCAGTCCCTCTGCTTTCTATTAAAAACTGACCACACTAAGCAGGTGAGCATAGAGTGGTCAGTTCTCTAGCTCTGCTGAGAACTCAACCAGCTCTCTTCCAATGACCAAACTTCTGCTGATAAGCTCTTTTGTCTTGCGAAGCTGATGCTTGATATGATTGTTTTGTTCAATTGGACATTGAGTCCTGGTTAACACTGATGCAAATTGTCATGTAATGATTGTCAAATGGAAAGGTTCTAATTGGTACGACTACAATGAAGTCGGAGTCGCACCAATTATAAAAGTAGTTCCTGCACTACTTTTCCTGATTTGGGGTGAGATTTGCATAGACGTGTGTGTATGAAGTCGCATAGATGTCTCTGAAGTCGCACCCAAAGTTACACAGCCATCCGACTTCAAGTCGCATGATTTCAAAGTCGGATCCAGTGTGAACCACGGCTGACTTTTCAATGCTATCGCATTGTGTATGGCCACCATTAGATTTACAAAACCTAAACTTGGTCTACCTTAACAAGCCATTCATTTGTATCCATCCAGGCAGACCACTGTACTATATATTAGTAGATACAGTAGATATAAAGGAGATTGTACAATCTTTAGACTTAAAGTGTTACTAAACCCACAGCAGTAAAATCAGTCTGTATATGCAGTAAAGCATGCTTGTTATACTCACTGTGGAACCTAAGGGGTTAATCCTCTGCATTGTGTAAAAAGGATGTTTGATCCTGTATTCTCTGATCCTCCCTTTCTTCCACAGTCCCCAATCCATCTCCTGATAGAACAGACTTTGGGGGCAAGCTGCACATGCTCAGTTTGGTGTATATTGCTATATAATTTTTTTTATTTCTTGGGAGAGTGCATGTGATCAGCACAGGGCCAATCAGCACTGTCTAGACAGAGGGTCAGGGGTTATGCAGACTCATAGGACAATCAGGGGAGAATGAAATCTCCTCCTACAAGCTTTAACTAGTGCTCTGCTGGACACTGATTGATGTCACAAGACTGCTATATACCTCTGATGATAAAAGGTATTTAGCAGTTTATATTTACTAAAATAATTGCATTTCCATGTTGTGTACTGTAAGGAGACCAGATATAGTGCATGCAGGGTCATAGTAACACTTTAACAAGGTTGGTAGCAGACATTTTATTATTTTTATACATTTGCACAACATTTTTTAAATGATTTAGGAAGCATCCTTGACACTGATTTTCAGAGAATTCTAGGATTTCCAAAAAAGACAGCATACCTTCTTACTTTCTGACTGTTTCAGCCTAATTTAAATCTATGTGAGGAAGAGCATATACAGAGCAGAGGGAAGGGTGTGTCTATCTTCTCACTCATTGAGTTTTATGTGTAATCTGAGCTTCTGATATTGAGGGTCATTTAAAATACAGGTGTTTCATAGTAAAGCAGTATAGGCAGACTGGTAATAAAAAGTCAACAAAAAGGATCCAAAGTTTCGTATATACCAGGCTGAAACAAATCCTTTTTTTTCCTCTAAGTATGATCAATAAAAACAAACAAAAAATATATAAAATTTTTATACATAAACTAAAAAGAACAAATGCTGTTAGGGTAGGTTAGCTGAGGGGATTTCACATAATTGTATCAGATCTGTATGAATAAATTCTGGGTTTTGAGGGCTAAGTTGCACATTTTGGGGTCAATTCACTAAAGGTTACCGCATGCAATAACATGGTCACATGACTCATTTGCATAAATTATCACATGCAGTAAAAAAATGTCCAATTCACAAAAAAAAATGAAAATTAAAAGATTATGCAGTATTTAACACAGAATGAAACGTGTCGGAAAATATTGCAAAAAAACATGCAGTAAGCTGTTAAGTCCAATTCACAAATGGAACAGAAAGTAAAAAAATCTGCAATATTTATCACCAGGGTTTTACTGGTGGTATCACATGCTGCATTTTTTCAGATGCAGCGTGGGGGTCCCCCCCAATCCTTATTATGCCCTTCTGGTCTGGTATGGATTTTAAAGGGAACCCCATGCCAACATTAAAAAAAATGCTGTGGGGTCCCCCCAAGGTCTGGCATGGATTTTGGGGGGACCCCCATGCCATTTTGTTTTTTTTAATTTTGGTGTGGGGTTCCCTGAAAATCAATACCTGACCAAGGGACATTTTTTTTTTTAAATTTTGGTGTGGGGTTTTCCTTAAAATCCATACCAGACCCAAAGGACCTGGTATGGATTGGGGGGGACTCCCATGCTGGGTTTTTTTTCATAATTTCTAATTTTCAGCATGTTTTGTTTACATTCAGCTGCCAGCAGGAAACCTGCTGACATTTGATGAGTCATCTGTTGTTAAGGATGCTGCGGCTGGCTTCCTTAACAACCAGCTACCGTGCGATAAATTACCGTATGAAAATATGCATTAACTACCAAAATACTGATATTTTACTGCAAAAGTTATTTACTGCAAAATTCTTAGTGAATTGCACATTTGTAAAAATATTTACCGCATACATTATTTTACAAAATGTTTTCAGTCTTTATTTAACTGTTAGTGCATTGACCCCTTTGTGTCCCAATACATACTATCATTCAATAAACTGGAATGGTGAAGTTTGTACTTACATTCTGATAGAACAGCCAGTCCCAACAAAGAGACTTTATCGGCATCTTGTGGCAGATGTAGATTATTACAGCCTTGCAAACAACTGGCAAAAAGACTTCAGACATGGTGAAATAAACATTGTTTTATTCAGGAGCAGGGGCGGACTGACCATTTGGAAAACTCTCGGGCACTGCCCGAGGACTCGGGGTCAGTAGGGGGCCCCATGAGATACCCCATGTACCTTTTTCATAGGCTTTTTTGAGTTTGGGCAAGGACACAGGGGCCCCATGATCCCCTATTGCCCGGGGGCCCCATGAGTTGTCAGTCCGCCCCTGTTCAGGAGATAATGAGTTTGGAATTTGAGGCTTTATGGTTAGTCTGGACTTACGCTGTTCCGTGTGCATATTGCACATATGATAATGCACATGGCTGGGCCCATTGATTTTCGCTTAGTCTTTCACACTAAACTGCAGCATATAGATGTGAACCAGCCTCATAGGATATCTACTTGACATGCATGTTCAGGCAGCAAAAAGAGAGAATTTTGCTGATATAAAACCAATTTATTCAATTTAGAGTTTAAAGCTGAGCTTCTGGTTAATATAAAAGACAGAAATGAATGAACCAGCCTCATAGGATATCTACTTGACATGCATGTTCAGGCAGCAAAAAGAGAGAATTTTGCTGATATAAAACCAATTTATTCAATTTAGAGTTTAAAGCTGAGCTTCTGGTTAATATAAAAGACAGAAATGAATGAAGCTCTGTATTTATTATTTTTTTTTATATATTTCTTTTTCAATGCAAGTAGTGTAATTTCCTGAATTTGACCTATCATCGGACCTCTAGAAATCCCCTGTACAGCAGAATTTAGACTGGAAGATGGAGAAGCAGTACAGGGAGCCAATCATTTGTGGGACTTTTAAAAAAACACAGTTCTTGGTTAAACAGTTAGGGATACGTGATGGGTTATAGAAATTATGTGTAACTGTTTTTATATTTACTTTGTGCAGAGCTACAACACTGATCTAAGTGGGGTTAGAATTTAGAATTTTTATTGCTGTATGTTTCCGAAGATTTTTTTTGCTGTGTGTGTCCACATTGATGCAATTTCCCCCAGACTTTCTGCCCTGGCAGGTGGAGTTAGTTGTAGTGCTACCCCCGGGAGAAGCCACTAGTATTTTTGCCCAGGTATTCCTCTCTCTTCACCATGCTAAGTTAGTTGTAGTGCTATCACCGGGTCACTGTCTCTGACTTCAGGCCCACCTGAGGCCTGCATGGCCGCAAATGCCAGGTAAGGCAAGCCTGCCTCCAGCTTGGTATGGTTCAATCCTCTTCTGGGATAGATGCTGAACCCATGTGCTCATAGCACATAAGTACCACTCCCAGCATGCAATGGGACCACCCTGCCCTGCAATTGGCTAGGGCAGTGTCCATATTCATGCTATTCATTTATCTAGCCCCTTTCCATGTTCTGGAAGACTCTCATAGCTTCCTAAAGGCAAGCAGAACTCAGACAAACTCAAGCAACACCAGAGCATCATGAGCAGACCTAACTAATCAATCACAGCACTCTGTTAAGCAGAGAGCCCAAGTAGATTTTCTTAACGGTCTCTCTGTTAAGCGGAGAAACATAGCTATGGCTAACCTAACTATGTAAATCCTAGCACCTAACTATAGAGTGTGCTATATATCATTCCAACTACTTTGTGTATCCAGTAGATTATACCTTGTTTTGTTTTCAGGACAAATTGGGCTTTTCTCTGGTCTCTGGTGGTAAATAGTAATGGATAGCGTCTGATTCTATTTTTTATCAAAGGAAAACTGGCCCAAAATAAAAAAAGAAATATAATAATTTATCAGTATATTTCTTGCTATTACCATAACTTACCACCAAAGAATATCCCCAAATAAATTTCCCTGCTCCTCATGATCTCAGCAATACCACATATGTGTATGTTAATTTATACCTGTAGTAGGATCCAGAAACAATAGTACACAATTTGCTTTTTTTATCCTACTTAAAACACACTGACACTAACTGACACTGATACTAATTGCTTTTTTTTTTTTAATTCAACCCAAAATAAACAGACCCTCACCTTTGACCCTGACCATTGAACCTTACCTTGACCTTAACACTAACCCTGACCTAAATCAAACCTTGGTCTAGCTATTTTTTTCTGTTTTTGCT